TCTTTTTCATGTCGAAGTTTAAATAAATTTTACAGCATTTGAACATAAAAACTGGTTTTTACCCAACATAAACTCACGTAGTGTTCATTCTATTCTGAGGACAACATTGGAAGATTTGCCGTTCAGATTTTCCCAGGTTTGGGAGAGCATGTCCTACGTATGAACAGATTCTAAAACGAAGTAATTTATTGACAAATTGACGAAGCAAGAATATCAGCAGTCTTGTTTGAAGTAATCATTTCGTAAGTTCTTTTGGTCTATACCATGACCTTGTCAGCAAATACAATTTATCATTGATACAAATGCTTACTGACTTTCTTCATTCTGATTGTTAGGTCATAATTTACATACTGAGCTGTCCAATGACTTTTCTGTATTTCCCGATCACGACTAGGGGCACATGGTGAGTGTGACCGGTCGGCAGGGGATGCACACTCCTCCATGGCACCTGAAATGAGGACCTTTATCGAAATTGCTGATATTCTTGTTTCATCAACTTGTTTGTCAATAATTTACCTCGTCTTAGAAATAGTTCATGCGTAGAGCATGTTCTTGCGTATCGAATCGACTGCGATATATAAACTCCATATGCAGGTGATAAAAGTATATTGCTGCTTACATGAGGGAAGTTCACGATAGAAGAGTTAAAGTTATCACGTATACCATAGAGCTTGGTTGTTAGATTACCATTAAATTAAATGTCTTTTTCTAGTAAAATATTCAAATATAAAAACATATGTGTTTAGAGTCCATGCTTAAATGAATGTTTTCGGAAAATAGCTCAAAGAGGTATTGTTTTTTGCTGATATACGAATTTTAAATAAATTTTATCTTATATTTCTTATCTGATCTAAATGGCGGAATGCACTGACAAATATAACAGAACTGAAAATGCTGTAACTGCTGCGTACTATATATTCACATATGAACTTAAAAACAGCATGAAGCTTTTAACAAATTAATTTGCCATCAATTCATTCCTTATCATCTGGGACCCATTTTTTGTTCTTTGGGAATATAATGACTTGTTTTCCTAACAATTAGAAATGAGATGGCCCGAGATAAGAAATCAATGAGAGCTACACGCGATGGGTGTTACATTTATAGAGAAAAAAACAAACATCGTTCTTAATTTACACAATGGTAGTTAATTAAACCTCTAGTCCAGCCTTAATAAGGCATGATAGGACAAAAGATGATGCAAATGATTATGAGATCATCAAAAATAATATATATTTTGTTTCGTGTAATTTATTATTAAAGACGATGAAGACAAATATAACTTCTTAAAATCATTTATTTTGATTTGGCGATTGTGGCCACGACCTACATAATACAATATATACTTTATTAATCGTTATAACATAACTCCTTATAAACATTATCCTTATAAACTTATATCCTTATCCTTATAAACCTTATATCCTTATCCTTATAAACCTTACATCCTTATCCTTATAAACATTGTATCCTTATCCTTATAAAGTCCTGAAGATTTGAATACTGACAACATTCAAGCTGGTACTAACTGGGTTAGCAGATACTCAGCAGAAGTTGTGAAAAAATACTTGTATCATGGAAGGCGTCTCGAAAAACCGCAGTGACTCTCCTTCACATTTCTTTATATGCAGGTCGTGAGGAATGGAATTTCTATCACATGTATGACTGTCTAAACCAATGTCTCTCATATTTCATATGAGACAGTTCAAGGTTGTCTGAAAATATTAAGAAAACTACGGCAGAAAAATGCACTGGCAAAATAGATTAACTAGACAAATGCATATAAATAATATATGTACACTTAATGTTATAAATAAGGGCAATGGGAAGGGTGGGATTTTTAAATTAAGAGACAAACTACAAACACATCTCAATCCAACTGTAACAAATATTGCGACGTCAAAATTTAATAGCAATAACGTCATCTATAGCAGGGCATTACGCGCACAAAACCAAGGCGCGGATCTGAGACATAGTAGTAACCATCGCTATAATAGATAGTTTTCGATTGACCAAGAGTTACTTCCCGTTGGCCGCCATACTGGAGGTCCAAATGCTCATATTCCTTCATTGTTCAACCAATTAAAAAAATTTATATTTGCTATTTTGAATAAGAAATCATTATTTTTCTGAAGTATATAAATTTTTGGAAGCCTCCTTTATTTAAAAAAAATTATTTGGTAAAGATTTTCCACCAAATATTTCTGCTATATTTTCTTAAACTTCGTAAGACAAAGAGGGAAAATCACTGAGTCGACCTCCAATATGGCGGCCAACGGGAGGTAACTTTCGCTAAATTCAGGCCTATCGAAAACTATCTATAATTGGATTTATTTCGTAAAGGAAATAAATCTTAATATTTTGAGAGTAGGGAAATGATATTTTTTGTGTTATCATTTTAGTTTACTCGTACTTTTTTTTTTCATGAAATTCCGAAATAAATTTTTATTATTTTTGACAAATTCTTTTGCCCCCCCCCCCCCCCCCCCCGACCTCCCTTTACATTGAAAAGGAAAAATATGGGAAATGAAGAAATGTTTTTAATCGGGGTTGTCGAAAACCATGTCTCATACCGTATATCCGGTTTTTTTTCGCGATGATCTATTTTTCGCATTTTTTGTGATTTTTTGTGATAATTTTTAATTCGCAAAATATACAACACGCTGAAATTATGTCAGCTGTAATGTGGCATAAAACATTATCATTTTAAACAAAAAATCTTCAATCGTAAAAAATAACGCAAAATATAAACTGTACTAATCTGCCCATTTTTCGGAAAATTTTCAACACACGAAAAAAACGGATATATGGTATCAATTAATGTGTGATTAGCCTGCCTTTGATTAAAAAGTGATCAAACTCAGAGCGTGTTATAAGTACTGAATGAGTTGGGTGACATAATTAGCATAGGCAGGTGATAGTGGGATATTACTACATTTAATAAGGAAAGAAATGAAGCCATATCGTTCCTCATACAATTTACTAATTAGTTCGCCTTTATTGTAGTTAAACATCGTATTGTATTATTGTAGTTAAAGAAGATATGGCAGACTCTCTTGTGTCTTTAATTTCAAGTTTACTGGGATGAATCGAGTCTAAGTATAAAAATTGTCAGTTTTTATGGATAAAATGTCGTTATTTTTCATCTCGGTTTCTTTAGATTACATTACAAATAATATAATATCAAAAAAAACCAAGTCTATATCAAACAGAAAATTCTAGATGAGGCAATATATATATTTCTTAAAAAATGCGACGTTTCTTTTGCGGTTCAGTATATATATTTTGTCGTAGGTTTTTTTACAGCTTAAAAACTTACGACTTTTCAACTTCATACACAACCATTCCCCACGATAAATTAAAGTCCAAGCTTTTTGATATCATTGACAGCTACTTTTTCAATAAATGTGGAACTCGTAAATTTACTTACCTGGTCATTGGTCAATTGCAAAATTATTTTGTTAAAACACATTCTGATTGCACACACAAGTACTCTGAAGTTGACATAAAAAAGATGCTAGAGTTTCTGATTGACAATATCTATGTGGTTTTTGGAGACTAGGTCTTCCAACGATCTATTGGAATTCCTATGGGTACCAATTGCGCCGTTATTAGCTGACCTTTTATTGTTTTCATATGAAGCAGAATTTTTGCAAAATCTTATGCGTGAGAAGAGGAAAACACTTGCTGTGGCCTTCAATATTTAGATATATCGACGTCGTATTGTCAATTAACAATGGTAACTTCCATTCCTTTGTCGATACGATATATCCTGATGAGCTTGAGATAAAAGATACCACAGAGTCTGACAGATCTGTTTCGTACTTGGATATTTTACTTGAAAATGAAGTAAATGGTAATCTTACAACCAAGCTCTTTGATAAACTTGATGACTGTAACTTTTCAATTGTCAACTTCCCTTACTTATGCAGCAGTATACCTTCATCACTTGTATACGGAGTTTATAAATCTCAGTTGATTCGATACGCAAGAGCATGCTATACGTATGAACGAGATAAATAATTGACAAGCAGGTTGATGAAGCAAGAATATCAGCAATCTCGATTAAGGTCTTCATTTCAGGTGCTATGGAGAAGCAAATACAATTTATCATTGGGTCAAATGCCGACTGACGTTTTTCATACTAATTATTAGTCCATTATTTATACACTGAATTACGACGGATTTTTCCATTATTTCCCGATCATAAGCACACGGCGGGTGTGACCGGTCAGCAGGGGATGCTCACTCCTCCATGGCACCTGATCCCACTTCTTCTGTTTAACAGGTCCGTGTTTGCTCTACTCCTATTTTGTATTGTTTTATGAACTTTGATATTGAATACCGCTCGTTGTCTCCATATCCTTCATGTAGAAGTCATAGGAAGATAAAGTCAGCTCGGTTAATGAAGGAGCAGAACTATAGTGCCCATCAGGATTACAACAGTTTTTAGGAATGGTGGATTTGTTTATTATATTATTTTTGTCACAAATAGTCCTAAACTTCCTAGGTCGACAGAGAGAGAGCCCACTATTACCCTGAGAATAATGTTATCGGGGCTCGCAAAATAAGTTTTTGGTACTATAAATGTATATCTCGAATCTCCTTCTTGGCATCAAAAACGTAAATAAGAAGCTTTCTGGTCAACACAAAGAATGGTGGACTATAGTAATTTGTTATGAGTTATTAGTTTATTCTGATAACTGAAGTGCAAAGAAATAAGTATTGATTGATTAACATTGCCTCTAAAATTAACATAAATATATATTAAATAATGCATTCCTTTAATTGTAAATGCCTTTTCTGTAGTCTGTGAAGTACTGTAAAGTTACGTAACGCAGTTGTACTTCAGTTTTTGATGTCACTTTAAAAATAAGATATTAAGTGCTGATGCGGGTTGAGTGTTAATGAAATGACAATTAATATTGATCAGAACGATCATATAGCATGTCTTGGTTTCATCAATTTCTTATTGTAGTCTCCGGCGGGGACCGACCGTTCCGTGCAATCAGACTTAATCAGCCCAGCGTCACCCTCAAGTAAAGAATTCACACTAGTGTTGATTGTCTGTTCCAGAAAGGATTCTGGGTAAAAAATTACAATTATTTCCAGCGTAAAAAAATTTAAAGTAAGCGTATGATATATTGGTAAGTGATATTTTCTGTGTGGGATTCATCTTTCATGGAGAGCTGGTTAATGACCATCGCATTTCCTCATACAATGACCAATAACATTTTCAGATGATGGTTTTAACAGCTGATAATAGAAAACCAATCTGAAAATCCGTTTTTCCGCCGTTGAATTCCAACACAATGGCACCAATTGATCACGTTTGTATTACATCTCTAATGACTATGTTCTCTCTGTTCAGACTTCGTTTAGCCTCTGTGTGAGCGCGTGTTGGGAATTTGACAGAAATCGCTGTGGAATTAATCGGATCTCTGAAGACTGTGTGAATTTTCCGGCATGCGTTTTCCCTTTGTTTTGGTTCTATCCTTTACGCTGCAAGTAGCCATCAAAGGTAAGTTTACAGAAATGGGACTTTATATTTATATATAACAAATGCAGTTCGCCCAAGCAATGAAATTTGGCATTTAAAAAAAAAAAACTTTTGATTTTTTTTCTGCACAAAACAGATATCAATAGAAATAAACTGTAAAAGAAGCCTCCAGCAGCCAGTTTGCCAGATGGGTAAATGGGGAACTTGAAACATTGTAATGTCATCGGTAATTGAGTAATTCATTCAATTAATAATCATGAAAAGATCAGACTTAGTTACTTTGTTCTTGTTGTCGATGAACTAAAATAAACCATTAAAACGGGGAAAATGCATCTTTTTTATCTTTTTGCTTCTATCTGATCAATTTTTAAATGACGCTTGTAATTCTAGGAAAGCGCTTTATAACAAATGCACTGAAACTCGTAAAGAATCCTGCGATATGTTAATTGCTCAACTGATACTTTGCTTTAACACGTTTATGCACTTGAAAGTTTCTGGTTTCTGTCAAATTCATCAAAAACTTGTATAATTAACTATTATCAAAATGGAGGAAAATGCAGGCCATTAGCATCTGGAAATGATTTCTTTCTCAAAGGAGAGAAACAAAATAACAGTGATTGATCGTTTTCTTTGACAAACAGTAATATTGTGAGATTCTCATGCACGCTAAAATCATGTCCTTTGAAGGGTTGTCATCTGCAATATCCTAGACCAATATCTTTTTTACCTTGTAAAATCCATGTCATACTGCAAATATAAATAATACAATGCATTTTTCTAAAGATATGTGTTACCATCTTTCCAGCCATTTATACCTTTTAATTATATTAACTTTTTATATTCCATGATAAATAATATATATCCCTTAATCTGTACATTGAAACAATCCACGAAAATTGGCCCGAAGAATTTTAATGGCATCTGATCTAACCTCTGATGTTTGGGAGGTCCATGTTTTCTCTGCTCCTATTTTGTAATGTTTAATGGGCTTTTGTCCTCGAATACTGTTAGTTATCTCTTCATATTTCATGATTTCACAGTTACCTTTCACTGTTTCATATAGCCATATAAACTTTTATATATCAATATATTTGCATACCCACTGCTTTCTCCCACTATGAACCTGCAGTCTGCAATATGCGTTCACAGGCCTATAGACGCAACTGCTTGTGCTATGAGTGCAATTCCTATTTCACACTCGTAGAGAACAAGCTCTCCTACACTTGTTATGAGCATTCAGAAGTATATATATGAAATGTTTTGCAAAAGGAATAAATATAAGTTTTTAATAATATTATTTGGAAAAAAAGAAATTCAGAATAATTTAAAATTGCTGATTTATATCTTTAAAAATTTAATTTTGGTCAATGTTTTTAATTGTATAATAAAACTTTTTAAAAATAAAAGAAATCTGCCATTTTTTTGATTTTTTCTTATCATATTTTCGCATATTTGTACAAAGAACGATAACTCTTCACACTTGGTCGTTTTAATGTCAATTCTCTGTAACTATCAAACAATATCAATAATGATTTGCCACACTACATTTTCAAATTTAATGAAACGTTTTGTGTGTACTCACATCATTAATGGTTTTATATTTTTTATTTCAAAAAATGTCTCGTTGCCATGGTAACGGCACCTATTGTTTCCCATGTAAATTCTTCCTAAAATTTGACCAAAAAACGTGATTTTGTAGGTTTTACTGAATAAAAATGAGCTTAAAAGAAACAAGAGAATGGGAAAATCTACTTTTGTTTCAAAACTACCATTATTCCTCTTTAGTATAACAACATAATTTTTTAAAAACTGTAATTCTACATAATGGCTTTACAACGCTTATCTTTGGGGATTTTGGCATTTTGCCAAATTGAGAAAATTACTATTTTAGGCCCTTTTTCAAAGCGATTTTTTAATACTTTGCACACTGATTTGAAATTCATGAAGCAGTGCATTGTATAGATGGTACATAACTTTGTTTAAACAAATTAAAATATTTATGGGACATCTAAATATTTTTTTTTAAAAGCTGATGAAAAATTACCCAAAATCTACAAAATTTCTGTATTTTAAGGAACGTATGCACACTTCATTCAGTTCATAAAAGAAATGTTCCTTTCTACCTGTTTTGATGTCATTTACGGTAAAATTACACCATATCAAGGAGAACTGTCATGTAAAAATATTCACATCCCATTTCCAAGAGCATTAATACATGTAAATCTCTTCTTAGATAGGAGAGCTGTGAAAACCTGCACAAAATGCCCCCCCCCCCTTTCGTAAAATTGTCAATTTTGAAGTACATGTAGACTAACCAGGGCATGTTTCAAGTTTCCTGAAGCTATCCCCTCAAATTAAAACTAATATGAAATAAAATTTTCCCTATCCATTCTCTGTTACTATGGAAACAGGAATGCAAAATTTGTTACCATGGAGACAGGAATACCAGAATTTTAACCAAAATGGCTGCGTTTAACAATATTCCCAAAACTACACTTATTTACTCTTTTATAAAACCTGTGTAATGAATTAAATGTGAATGTGAACTAAATTTGTTGGCATTTTAAATTTGCATCTTTATGATGTTGCAAAAATATAATGCATTTTGTAATGCTATGTCAAATAATTGCAAAGCCTTGTGGCTTTTCCTTTTCCCAAGATTTGGTCAAACTTAAAAAATTCTGAGACGAAACTAAAACAAGCAGCACATTCATAATGTTTTACTTATTTCAACTTGTTACTTTGTTACTGTATACTTATTCATTAAATTCATGGGCAACTGCAATCAGAGATACTTTGAATGAAGTCAAAAATTTATCCCCACCCCTTTCTAATTTTTTCTTTTAAACTTATGAAACACAGCTTTAAACTTGAGAAAAATTACATTGGTTTAAAAAAATCACATCTTCTTGGGTAAATTATCTTGGATTTAAACATAAATATCCAACAATGGAAAAGTTTAAACATAGTGTTTGGCATATAATTAATAATTAGGTTTGCAATGGATCTTTTGTATTCTGTAAAGTCAGTTGAAACAACCCCCCCCCCACCCATGAGACACTGTCCCCCACAAGTATCATTTTAAGGAAGTTCTTCCTTTCATTTTACTAGGGCCACCCTTAAAAAATTGTTTGTTTGGAATTGCCGCCTTGAGGGTTTCAGACACAGGAGGGAGGGAGAGAATTTTTTTTTTTTCAAAATTGAAGATAAATTTTAAATTTTTGATAAAAATCTCAGTAAATAGTAAATTCATTTTTAAAAAGTATCTACCATCAACAAAGAAACATGATTTTGCATAGATCTTACACTACATTTCAGTGTTTTGTATTGTGCATGTGATAACGGGCAAAAAAAATAAATTAAAAAAAATCTTCCTACTTTTGGTCAATAAAATTTTTTCAGGAGGGGGCATTTCAATGAGGCAATTCCAAACAAACAATAATTTTATTTTGGCCTAGGTTCCTGCCAACATCACACCAACTATATCAATCTCCTTTTCTTTTTTTTTTCACATGTAAATATAAATTCTGAAAACAAGAGAGCTTTTCGCTTTTTTTATTTTTTATATATGCAACCTTAGGGTACATGTATTCTCAACTACATATCATTAGATTTATGTGACAAATTTTACTGTTTCTGCTGCTCTGAAAATCTTGTCTCTGATTTTTCCACTTTAGAGTTTTTGTCGGTCAGGCATGTACCAGTAATGACCTACATTGACATACGCAAGTAACACTGATAATTAGTTAATGAGAATTATGCTGAGTTGAGTTTTTTTGGCAAGGTACAGGATAAAGCTTGATAAGGTCTAAAACATATTGTTATACGGCATAAGATTTGCGGATGCCATTACATAATATGATAAATATGTTCCTATTATATTTGAACTTTGACATCTCAAACACTGATATCTTGAAGACAGTGGGTACAAGTACCGGTATGTTGAAGTGGGTTGGAATTCAGCTTTCACTTGCCTGGTTTCAAACCTAAAATATGGTATCCCTTCTCAACCTGCAATGGTAAATAATTCCTGCACTTTCCAATAAACACTGATTTCAAACTAATTAAATGTGTATGTAATCCTTTAGAAAGTTGTTTTCTTTATTCTAGAATAAGAATTGTTTTGTTACTGGACAGATATTAAATTTTGTTTTAAAAAAAAGAAATAAGCAAGGTTTAAATTTAGATAAACTGAAATATTTTTTAACAATTTAATTTACTTTCATATTTTAAGAATGGTTACCTTGAAAAGAACAAAATCTAGGCTGTCCACTTTCTTGCAGAAGGCACTTAAACTTCAGTCGTGGCCTATTTGGTCCTGTTTTGGTTTACTGGTCTTACTTTCTCTTTATTCATCTCATATGGTAAATCCTTTGATGAAAAAATTATGAAAATAATTATTTTCCTAGGAACACGATCAAAAGGAAAATTCATTTAATTCCTACACAGACATGTTCATGTGTGTGGTCATCTTACCAGTAGTGAATATTTGCCTGAGTATCAAATAATTTGTTTAGAATATTATAAAACATGGTCAGTGTTTATAAAACAAATATCATTATAAATCAGAGGTATATTCTACGTGTACATATATATAGTTTTATTATACCCTAAGCTTAAAAAGTGGGAGGGTATACTGTAATCGGTATGTCTGCCTGTTACGCTTTAGGGTACCCATCTCTTATTATCCGCAACTCCTCTAATACCACTGAGTGAAATTTAATGAAACTTTCACAGAATCTTTATTACATATTGCCATTGTGCACCTCCTATTTCACTTTTTGATCCGACACATATTTTGGGTTTCCCGGCACCAGCAAAACATGGACTTTGTCATCAGTTATAGCCATATGGGAGGCAGGGGGTATCATTTAGTGAGCTCATTGCTCACAGTACCTCTAGTTAAATTTTGTTTTTACACTAATACATATGTATGTACAAGTATACATATATATTTTTTACTGTTTGCTATTTGAAAAGATTATTATTACTCACACCAAATTGAACTATAGATTACACAG